GGTGGAAAATAGAAAGATGCAAAATAATTTTCCTTCTCTGAGCACATCAGAGTAATCCAGAGCCTGTTGGGAGGTCTGCAGCCAGCAGCTTTCCGAGCACTGCTGCAAGAGCCAAGCAAGATGTTAAATTAACATGGAGATGTTCTAGGCAGTAAATGCCTTGGTAATTCAGTGAGGAACAGGACAGGAACAAGCCAGGGCATTGCTGAATAAATCTGTAATTGTGTTTGTTGCAGTTCTCAGCTATGGCTGGTGTTGAACATGGTGAACTAAAGCTGCTGCTTTGAGTAGCTACACCGCGGAGGCTCGGGGTGGTATCAAAGTATGGCAGCAGGATTTAGTCAGTGTGGTGCAGTGTCTGCTCTAGTTCTGTAAAGATGGTCTGCTGAAGTGTTTACTTTTGTTTGTGGTTTGCCTAATTAGAGCAGAACTTTGCACTTTCAGTGTAAACAGTGGTCCTCAGGGAACTGCCCGCTGCCCGAGAAATGGGAATTGCAAGAATGTGAAAGGCAGGATTTGGGCTGGCAGCAATGCCTGGCTGTGGGCTGGAGTTCTGCTTCTGGGGCTGTGTTCTGTGGTCAGGAATGCAAACTTGTGGTGTGCATTTATTGGGTCTTAGAGCTAAACAAGAGTTACACAATATGTAATTATGTGAGACCTACCAGCATGAAAATCACGGAGATGGAGACTGAGCTGCTTGACTTGGTGTTGGTGGTGATGTGCTGAGAGGGGCTGTGGTCCTTTCAGAGAGATCAAGCCCAAAGAATGCATCTTGGCTTTACCTAATCTTGGGTTAAAACTGGCCCTGTTACTGCAAGATGGTTTTCTCCTGGTTTGAGTCCTGGAAAGGTGGATCCTTTCCAAAACACAGAGGGCAATCTGGCATTTGTTTTTGATCACGTTCTGACTTTGAGGGTTTTCACTGGCAGTCACAGGCAGGAAGTTCTGTTTCTTCTTTCAGCTGCTAGAAAATAAAGCTTTGGAGTGTCTTGTGCTTAAAGACACTTGTTTCTGATGCTGCTCCAGATCAAATTCCAGCAGCTTGCCAGCCTTTGGAAGAGGATCTCTCTTGTGATCAGGAATCTTTTGAAGGTTCACTGGCCACAGATGGGAGATCATCATGTCCTTTCATTCCATAGTAATGCTCTGCATACAGTTTAAACCTGATGTAATTTAGACTTTCTTTGTGCGGGAAGTTGCTCTGAATTGATATTCTCAAACCATCACAAGTTATAAATTACTAATATGACTGCTGAGAAAAGTGGATCTACAGATAATCTGTATGATAGAAACACCTTGAAAGGGGGAGGGTGATGCTGTTAAAATTACCTGCTTTTCAAAGCAGCTTCCTCGGGTGACTGAAGACATGCGTATTCCATTTCAGTGTAAATGAAAGTTTTCAAAGTAAAACCTTCTCAGTAACATGCACATCACATCTTTCTCATTTTCACTTTCCCATTAGCTACAGATGTGGAGCAGATGAGTTCCTCCTCTCCTGTCCTCCCTGTGAACTCCGTGGGCAGTAAGTACCCTTTTCTTGCCATGTGCGACGAGGTAGAATTTCTCATTCTGAGATAATCCAGAGATATTAATTGATACTCCATGGTAGAGACTTGGAGAAGTTTTACAGCTGATGTTTGTTCATGGAAGTGGGGATTCCCACAGCTGAGAGCTGCTGAGGTATCTCTCACTAAAGGAGCACAGACAGGTCTGTACATCACTATTTACACCAGCAGAACGCAGGCTGTGTCAGACCTGTGTCCACCAGAACTATCTCATGAGTGATAGAAACCCCTGAGGTGATATAAATTATGTTGACATGGGAGTATTTTTCTGTAGTGTGTCATTATTACACTTGAAAATCTATAGCCTGAAACTTCTCATGAAACTGAGAGCAGCTGGTGAAATCCTCCTCAATTTCAGGGTAATTCTGTGCCTGTAACTTTTTGACACTTTGAAAATCCGAACTGCTGGACACCTAAAAAAGTAGGAATTCAGAATTCCTTCCTAACACTCCATCTAGTGGCATGTGCTTTGTGGAGGGACCAGTCGATGGGAATCCACTAGATGGCAACAGGCCCTTGTCAGACTGGTGGGACTGGGAAACCGTGTCCTTAACAGGGCCGAGAACCCCTCATTGAGAGCAACTTTTCATCTCATTGTTTGGGAACTCTGTGGATTTCTCCAATGTGGCAGACTTTTATCTGGCAGCTCGTTTCAAAGTAATGCTCAGATGTTCACAACTGCTAAAAGCCTCCCAGAGCCAGGACATGGTTCTTCCCACGTGCCTTTGTGCTTGATGGACTTGCACTTACTTTTACTGGAGAACTGTGGTTCCTGTGTGATGGCAGTGGAAATCTGGTTCCTTCCTTTATAGTGAGAACAGCCCTGTGGAGTGCATGCAAGGCTCCCAGTTGTGAACATGTGTGCAGTTATTTGCCTGTTGATTAATAAAACACATCTTTGTTGCTATCTAGCTAGGTTTTCATGCAGTTTATCACTTTTATATGGAAACAGGTAATTTCAAACGCTATGTAGAGTAATTTGTCATCTAGAGACATGTATAGTTCATGATGATATACTGGCTAATACTCTGTTGAACCTTTGTGGCCTGATATAGCTCATGTTTACTCTTGTGCATTGACAGGTATTAAAACATAACTAAATTTTCCACAGTATTCTCCCAGCAGAATGTATCTGCAGGAAAAGGGCAGGGCTGTCCAGCATGAGCTGACTGACCCTCTTTCCCCCTTAAATAACTGTATTTTATTGCCAGTGTGCATTTGTCTAGCTACAGCTTTCCTGTCTGTTGCCTTTTGCTAAACTGAAAAATGCTTGTCTGTTCCCTATGAAGATATTTATATAAACTTGTGATAAATGAAATAAACCGAGCTCCTCGAGTTCTTTTGATGTTTCCCTGTCTCTCGATCACCTGGTCAGCGCTGGTGGCCACTCTGCCCAGTCACAACCCAGCCCTCAGTGGCCTCCAGTGTGGATGGATGAGCCCTGGCAGGTCCCAAATGTCCCAGCCCCAGCTGTCCCATGGCTGCAGTGGCAGCACTGAGTGTGCTGGTGCTCAGTGTCACCCTGACGTGCCCTGGGGCAGGTGGATCTGCAGGGTGGTGCCTCTGCTAGGCAGCAAACAGTTGCTGACACAAACATCTGAAGCTTCCCAAGCATGGATTTTAAAACATTCTGAACATGCCTGTCTTTCCTTAGTTTTTTTCCCTTGCTGTCTCCTTACCAAAATTAAAGAAAAAAAAAAATCAGGAGGATTTTTAAAGTAAGAACCCAAATTTTAAGCTTATTTGTGCATGCAGAGCATTTGAGAGGTGTGGAATGTGTGCTCAGGCCTTTGGCTTGTTGTGCATTGGCAAACTGGAGTAATGGCCCCTTTACTGTGATTTTCCCTGTTTATCTGAAATGTCTTATTCAGAGTAATTGCAGTGAATTATTTTCACATGTTCTCCCAGTAAAGATGAACACCTCTGTCAGGACTTCTGTATTTTCTACTTTCATGCAGGTATACATGAAGAAAGCCAGTTGGCTGAAATGTCTGTTTAAAATAACACAAAAGTGCTTTCTTGTACATCATGTAAGATGTCTTTGGAAAAAGTCCAAATTATGCACTCTCACTTCTGAAGGAGTCTGCCAAGCATGCTGAAAATTTTGAGATTTCAAAGTCAGAATGTCAAACTGCATCAAAAAAGAGTCATTTGTCTTGTTTTCATGTTAAAACAATTTGGCAGGCATGTTTTTGGGCTGTTCACTGTTACACTGCTGTTGTAAATTCCCTGTACCAAGCCACCACACTTACCTGGGCTGTGGGTGACTGAATAGGGCTCTGCTATCAGAGAAAGGGGAGATTTTCCCTAAAATTCCACTTTTGCAAAGTTCAGTCTGTTTAGTGTGTAGCTGTTGAACTTGGTGGAGCTGTTCCTGTGTAAAATTGAAGAAGTTAAAGTCTTTGAGCAGAGCAAGCAGATATATTTTGAATATTCACCAGCCTGGAGTTTAGAAGTCCTTGGTGAGTTGTTCTGACTTGAGCTGTACAGAGGGACCCGTTCCTGTGGGATAGCAGCACAGCATGTCTGAACAGGCTCCTTCAGGATAATCCTGTGAGCAACTGGAGGAGCAAACAAGGCGTAAGGGAAGTGCTTGGACCCTTTACTGCCCAGGGAACTGACTGACACCACTGCTGAGCAGAGGGACAGCCACCATCCCTGCTCTGAGTGCTGTGGGGACACCACAGGAGCCTCCTTCCCTCACTGCCCCCAGTGTCCAGAGACAGGGGCATTTCTGGACAGGTAGGTCATGCCAGTCACGTAGAAATACTTGGAGGGCAGCTCCAGAGGCTGCTCTTCTGCCTGCAGTGTCAGTTTGTCACGCAGAGATGTGTCTGCTCCTCCCTGCACAGCCTCAGAGCAGGAAGGTCCCTGCCTGCCCCAGGCAGCCAGCTCCAGCTCCTCACCTTTCCAGTATTACACCACAGCCCTGAAGAATGTTCTCTGCAGCAGTACCTTAAATCACTATTTCTGCTTTGCTTCCTCCCATTCTCGCCCCTGTCAATCCAAAGCCCCACAGTTCAGTCCCTTTCCATCTCTCACTGGTCACTTTGTGGGACCAGTGCTGTTCCATAGCTTGGCTCACTCAGGAGGAAGTTGAATTTCCTATCACCTGGTAATTTAATTTCCTATAACCTGGTAAAGCTGTAGGTTTATGCTTTACTGATAGATTTACCAGTTTGGTATAACTTTTATTATTATTAACACTGAACTATTTCCTCAACTGTTCTGCTCCTTTAAAAATCCCTGTGCATTTCTTAATTAGCACTCAGATTTGCTCATGAAGGAACTGGATGAGGTGTCCTGAACATCTTTGGTGGGACAATGGCACAGCCTTACACAGGTTTGGGAGGCAGAGCTTGGACAGGGTGTTTCTTTGCTGAAGGTGTCACTTTTCCTGGCCCTCTGGGTGGGTGCTCCTTGGCTGGCTGGTCCGCAGTTTGCATTCATTGGTCAGTGAGTTGATAGAAATGAAAACCCACCGACAGCAATGAATGTTGATTGCAGCCATTAGATGCTGGAGATGCCACGCCACGGTGATGGTGCTGTCACTCCAGAGCAGCCCAGGACAAAATTCCCTGGCACGTGTGTTGGGTCTTTCCTTACTTCATGGATTCTGCAGCCCCTGGACAGGCACAACAAGTGCCTGCACCCTTGTGAAGGCACCCACTGCCAGAGCCTGCAGTCCTGCTCAGCCAGCTGGGCTGGAGAAGGTTCCATGTGGCCACCACCGAGGTGCCCGGCCCTTGGCTGCTGTGCCTTGGGAAGCAGGGCTGTTTCCTTGCCCTTGGCTGCTGTGCCTTGGGAAGCAGGGCTGTTTCCTTGCCCTGGGCTGCTGTGCCTTGGGAAGCAGGGCTGTTTCCTTGCCCTTGGCTGCTGTGCCTTGGGAAGCAGGGCTGTTTCCTTGCCCTGGGCTGCTGTGCCTTGGGAAGCAGGGCTGTGTCCCTCCTGCCTGGCTGCAGGCGACAGCCTGAGCCGCGGGAGCAGCTGGACCTTCCGCCAGGGAGCCGCTCCTCGCCCGGTGAGCAGCTGCTGCAGGTTCCTGGGAGCAAATGAACTGACATTCCAAAGCTTTTTCCAGCAAAGCTCAAGTTGCCAGCCCAAATGGAAAGGTTTCCCTCCTGATCTGGCCTATATTCTGCTATTTTGAATATATACCACGCTCAGATTTGTTTCCAAGTGTCCCATATGGTGTGGATACGTTCCTGCTTTTGTGCTGCCCATACAAAACCTTCCATTGATCTCTTACACTCTGTTCTGCAGAAATGCTGCACTAGTATAAAGCTTTAATTCTTTTTTTTTTTTTTTAAGAGAAAACAAGCATTTCTTATACACCAATTCACTTTTAGAGAAAGTAGAACTGGAAAAACTCAACCTCTGTAGCTCTTAATATAATCTGTAAATCATGACCCGCTAATGGCAACCACATGTGAAATCTCTGAAGGTTCAGGCTTTCCATTTAACAGAGGGTTTGTGATAAACCTCAAGGTACAGTCAACGGTCGATGGTTTTTTCTAGTTCTCAAACTCACCGACAGCGTTGAATGTTCACTGAAGCTATCCAAAGATGGCTGTACACATGCACTGCACACATTTTCCATGCATATGTTTTCCATAGACTGGCAGTGGAAACACTGCTGAGGACTGCACATTCTTTATTGTAAAGCCTTAAACTGCAAAGTATTTTAATTACGGAATGGAACCTTGAGGACTAATGAATTGCAGAAGTGTAACACTCTGGTTATGGATGCTGAGTTCACTTATTATTTCTTAAACTAGCTTTGGATATATCGGAGTTGCAGTAGTGGAAAAAGCCTCTCCTCTTGTGGATATGCTTGTTCTCAATAGGAGCACTAAAGATGTTTAAAATTATTCAGTTTTCTTTATAAAAAGTTCACTTAAAAAAAACCTGAGGGTTGGGGCTCACCCACAGTGCTAAAACAACAAAGTGAGAGATGGGGATCTACTTGGTGGAGTACAAAATGTGTGTTTCCACAGCTCCTGTTCCTGCTCTTTTCCCCTAAAAAGAGGAAGAAGTGGGTTTAGTCTCTTTAAATCTCTATATTGCATCTAATTATCTCCACCTTTTCCACCTGGCTTGCATGGTTCCAGAGGGATAACTTATTTGCAGTTTGTTTGTTAAAGAGTAAATCTGCTGCTGTATGTGAAGTAACTTTGCTGTGAGTGCAGTGGAGCTTACAGAGTCATTGGGGATTATTTACTGCTTAAATGCTGGAAACTTGCTTTAAAATCAGAGTATTTTCTCTTGTTGTAGGGATCTAACAGTTTCTGTCTGAATATCCTGAGCTGATACATGTAATTTACCAGTAAGTGTATTGTCTAATAAAGTACTTGAAGCAATCTTGCTCCAGGAATACAGTTTGTAGCCTGCACTTAAACTGATTGATTTTAATGGTATCATTAAACATCAGCTGATACTGAAAATCAAAAGAATTCTCCAAAAATTAGTCTCACCTTTTTCTTGTCATCATTTGGAGTAGGAGCTGGTGGAAAGAACAAAGACAATTTGAATTAATCACAAGCAGTGCTCAGCCTGGAGTGTTAAGGCTCAGAAGTGTCCCAGTGTGAAGGGTGACTACATGTGGTAGGTATAACATAAATCAAGGAAACTCAGTTCAAGTCATGCATGAAATTTTGGTTTCAACAAACCAAAACAGTGTGTTTATATTTAAATGACATTGTGAGAAAGGCTTTTTTCTCAATTTACTACTTCTTCCTCCTTTATCCCTCCAATGACCTTTGAGGTAGGAACTTTCATCTTCTTGTTCCACAATTTCAGAGCCTGAATTTCTTCTATAACTTAAACTGTACATGTTATTTCTATATCCTGGCTGCACACTCCTTCCCCTTTGCAAAGTTCAAAGCTCTTCGTCAGATTTTTTGGACACACTCCGAAATGATAAAATAGTTCTCTGGAAACTGTAAAGGGCAATATGTTCAAGGTACACTCCAAAAGCTATGGTCTGTACTGAACCTTCAACATACCTTCCTTTCTCTCAGACTTATTCGCCTAGGAAGCACTGAAACTAGACCTGACAGCTGCCACCTCTATTGTAATTCCTTAATTATTATTTTTTGTTGTGAAAAAAGCATGAAGTGGACTCTCCCCAGATGTTGACACGGGTCCCTGAGGCCCAACTCTGTTCTCTGCATGAACACCTTGTAAAGTGGGAGCCCTGTAAGGCACCAGTCAGGAGGCAGTGACTGCTGAACAAGACCTTTTCTATTAATTGAAGTATTGAACATTCAGAGCACACGGGGGTTTCTTTCAAATTACAGTGAAGAATGGGTTTCTGTATGAAGAAAATGCTTTCCTCAAAATTTGCATACAAACCCTGAAACACAGTGGTTAACCTGTTTGTAAGAGGTAACTGTTCAGGACTGAGTTAATTTGGTGCACGTTTCTTGTGCTCTTTGTATTTATGGTGCCTGAACAATTCTTACACCCTAATTCAATCATTCTACTAGCTCCTCACAATAAGGCTTTTATTTAGCAGGGCAGGAATCCCAACAGCACCACCCTAAAGTATCACTAAATAAATTTTACATATGCATCTGGTAGTAAAACAGCTTCCCTTTTCCTCCCACCCCCTGTGCTGTAGCTGTGACTCTCATGAGGGAGGTGTGTGACCCCAGTGAAGGAAACTGGGGCCAGGATTGTCCTCAGCACATGACAGAGCCTTCCTGCCTGCCCGGAGCATCCACAGAAATGCCATGTGCAAGCACATTTGCTTTGTCCTGGAACAAGCTTTAATTGTATTATAAAAATGTGTTTTCTTTGTTGAGGTAAATAACTTCAGCGGGGTAAGCATGTAAATTCCCCTTGGGGAGACAAGAGCATGGAACTGCTGCCAGTAATTTTAGTTATTGCTTTCACTGAAATTTGGATGAGTGTTTAACTAGCAATGCCATGGCCAAACACTTCAGATTCAGCAGTCTTCTACAGTGAGCACTGGAGGTTATTTTTAACTGTCCAAAAATTCCTTGGGACTATTACTTGACAAGTCTGGGGGGCTACATAAAATTGGGGGACAAAGTCACCAATCTGTTCCCTTTGCTCTTTTAGAACACAGTGCTGTGATGATCACCCTAGAGAAAAGAGATGCAGAGCTCTTCTGGGACCTGGGAGAAATGCTGTTAGTACCAGTTTCCAGCGATTTAGGGGGGACTTACCAAGTTATTTTGATCTCATTCTAAGTTGGCAAGCTTGCTTGTGGATGCAACATACCCTAGACTTTTGTAAGGTGTTTGACTTAATACCTAATGACAATTTAAACTGGTATGATACAAATTTGCTGTGGCAAATGTTAAAAGGATTAACAAATGACAAACGGGGAGGTCTAAATGCAATTCCAAGTGGGAACTTGATACAGTTGGCACAGCCTTAGAACTACTTGGCCACATCCTAAAGCATCCCTTTAGGCCTGGGAGAAACGCAGTATCCCATATTAGCAGGTTTGGGGTTTTTTAGACAAAGAGTGACACAAATTTGGATCTCTAGATAAATCAAGTGTAAGTGAATGCTTTGGCACAGCTGAATGCAAAGTTCCGTGTTTGGGAACAAGGAATACAGACCATGTGTGAGGATAAAGGGCTGGGCCCATGAAGCAGTGCTTGCCACGGAGATAATTAACTGCATGTGTGTGCACAATCTGACTCCTACTACTGTGCAAACAATGAAATATTGAACAGCAGCACGGGCTGGTGCATCTGCATTTAGTTCTCCTGAAACTGCTGAAAGGATGGATGCTTTAGCCAGTTCTGGCACAGGCTGCCCTGAAGACATCACTGAGCTGAGCAGGTTTCTGAAAGTTTTCAGTGGAAGCAATTAAAGACTGTCACCAGGAAAATAATGTTCTCTGAGGTAAACCAGTGAAGGTTCAGCAGTTCTGTCCTGTCTCATAACATCTTTACCTGCACAACTGAGCCAGTCAGAGCACAGCAACCCTGCCCTGGGTTCGGGAATGGGTCTGGCTTCACAGCAGGGAAGCACAACCTTGGCAGTGGGTGTTAGCAGGGAAAAATGGTTTGAGTCTTCAGAAACTCAAGGCACCACCTTGTCTTTCACGAGCATATGAAAGAGTGGAAAGCTTTTTTGACCTGTTGGGATGTGATTTTGCAAGAAAATTAGACACCCATGCTTGAAAAATGCTAGGCTAAGACTCAGCAAGTTATTTCAACTGAAAAGTAAATTATTTTGGTTATGATTTTTTCCCCAAATATTTTAAAATAAGGCATTTATGAATGAGCTACTCTGAATGGTCTTCCAATCTGACATCCAGCTTGAGTAATATGATGCCTTGTGTTTTTTTAGGTGCTTCACCAAACTGTTTCTGAGCTATCAAAATGGTGAAATAGATATATTTTTTCAGTGAGCAGACAAGAGGGATGGGTTTGGAGGGAGCTCCATTTATGAACTGTTTATACCTGGACTGGAACAAAATGACCTCAGCCCAGGATGTCTCAGTAATGGTGTTGTCATCTCCTTTCACAGAACGTCAGAAATTGTCTTTGTTGAGAAAGAACTACTTTGTTTGTCTGGGACCACTACTGAATTACAGCTGTTGGCTGTAATCAATAAAGCAGTTCTGACTCTTAAAATAAAATCAAACCAGTGGCTAATGGATGTTTGGAGAATGATTCAAGGAGGAGAAGCTTGCATATTTCCTGCTAATCATCTCCTGTCTTCCAGACATTTTTCAGCACACACAGACTTCTGGAGACAGACTTCTGTGCGTTCAGTCACCAGGAATGCATTTTTCTTTTCATGAATTTGCACAGCTTCCCTGTGAACTTTTATCTCCCGTCTTTTAAGATAACATTTGTTGCCATGAAGATGGTTGGCTGTGTTAGATCCATCACTTTTAATGGAGAGGAATCTCAGGTGTCCTCCTGATGGATTCTTGCAGTTGCACTACAGCCGGGCACATCTAACGCTGGGTAAGCAGCTTTGTGAGATATAAATAACATTGTCTTTTCTGCTGTATTAAACTTGCTCACAGGTCTTCATCACTGAGGACTGTGCTGCTCCGCACCCAGGATGTGTTACATTTATTGTGGTAGTGAATTTAGGGTAAGTGCTTCTTCAGAAGGTCCTGTGCTGACTGCTCTTCTTGGCTGGCAGCTTTGTGTCTGTGAAGATCAAAAGATTTCCCTTTAGCTGTGAATTCAGGCATAGTTCCTGTGCCTGTCTGGGGAAGCAGAGAGATGATCCTAACTGCAGATGATTCTGGTACCAAGATTGTTTTCTGCCTTTTATCTATTTAGAAATTGCTGGCAGCATCATCAGACTGATTTCACAAAAATCAGTTCCCCTGTTGTAGAGAATTGCCTTGTTGTGCTGAGGTTGGAAGGAGCTGCACTTGCTGGTCTTTGACAGGGCAGGGAGGGCAGGAAGCACCACTGGCTCTCCTGCTGGTCCCACGAGTCCAGCTGAGGTTTCCTTGTCATTATTTCTGGGTGGATAATGTAGCTGGATAATACCAGAGAGCCCATTGGGTGGGCTCACCCCAGCAGGATGCCTGCCCCTGGATGAGTT